TAGAGGGAGGGGCTCCCGGCCCGCCGCCCCGCAGGGACGGACAGCACCCTCCCCGCCCCGCAGGGACGGACAGCACCCTCCCCGCAGGGACGGACAGCACCCTCCCCGCAGGGACGGACAGCACCCGGACAGGCCCCGCTGCACGCAGGCAGAGGCGCACAGATGCACAGGGGCTCGGCGCTCCCATAGTTTCACTTCCCCTGGGGAGCACTTGTTTTGTTCTGCAGGAGTGGCCGACCGAGCCCCTCCCCCAGCTCCTGGGCCGTGGAACTGCCGGGCTGGGAAGTTGGGGGGTTTGTCAGGGAGTCTGCCGGGCACTCTCATCTGGATGGATTGTTCTCCGTGGGTGGGGTGATTGCGGGAGGCCCCGGGTCTGGGGGGTTGGGGGAAGATGGCTTGGCTCTAGTTAGTCGCTTCCAGGAGGCTCACCCTAGTCTTGTGCAAGCAACTGTAAACATCTGGGGAGGAGTGCAGACAGGAGGGGCTGGGGGAACTGGGTCACCACGCAGGATTCTCGGACACTTTCCACTATAGTTGGGTCCTGCCGGAGCGAGTCCCCCTTCTCAGCCCAGGCAGGAGGTGTCCCAGCCCAGGCTGGGTTCTGGGCTCCTTGCAGCCGACCCTCCCCAGGCTCCCCAGCCACGTGTCGGGGAGCTGGAGCCGAGACAAACAGGACATTCCTTCAGATGCTGAGCACAGAGCCCAAGCTGATTCCTGGGAGCCATGGAAACAGTCCACCCTCCCTTATAAGAAATTAAACCAAGGACACGGTGAAGGGTCCCTCAGCAAGTGACACACAGGCACTGCTCTCGCAGCCTTTGGCTGCCCTGTGGCTGCCCTGTGGCCCTGGCCTTGTTGCGACATCACCGCTGACTCCTGTCCGGCTCCTGTTATGGCCCAGAGGTAGGGGGCGCTCTACACGAGGTGGGGGTCTTCAGCCCCCCTCCCCACCCTCAGCTGAGTTCATGGAGGCTGAGGAGGCCTAGGGCCGGGGCTCCCTCGTTTGGGCCTGACAGCCCTGCCTGCCCCCCTCCTCTTCCGTCTGCGGAGCCTGAACCTCTCCCCAACTGGGCTAGTGGCCAGTGGACCAGAGAGCACCCAGCAAGGCCTGGCAGTGCCTGGCTCTAGGAAGCCTAACCCACAGCCCTGCCCACAGGCTGGCCCGGCCCCTGGGAGGTGTGTGAACCAGCTGGCACCATGTTTGTCCAGTGACTGGGCAGGCACCCTCCAGGGCAACCCCCCTGCTCACGGGGCTGGCTGCCCTCCCTGGCCCCAGGAGCCACAGGCCCCCAGAACAGCCTGGGGAGCCAGAGCTGAGGCGTGGGGAGCCAAGCAAGCCGGCAGGGGTGTGGCCCCACTGGAGTAGGGCCTCTTCCCACCCCCCTGGCCCCACCCGCCCCTGAGTCATGCTGGAAACACCGAACTGACTTCCGGTGAGGAACGGGCCTCCCGTTTCCTTCCTCAGTGCGGACAGAGTCCCCCCCGTCCTCACCCACCGGCCGCAGACCCAGCTCTGCACCTGCTCGTGCTCCCCCTCCCCCCATCAGTGCTGAGGTCTGATGAGGGGTTCCGCATCCTTGGTCTGATGGAGACTTCAGGGGCTCCAGCCTTGAGCGCCCCTGAAGCTAGCCGGGTCCCAGGCAGCTAGGATGACCGAGCCCTTGCCTGCACTTTGCACTCAGCAAACACCTTGCATTCACACCCTGGCTCCCTGGTTTCCCAGAAGCCTCCGCAACCCTGCCCTGAGTGCAGCCCCAAACACCCTCGTTGAGAGCAGGGAGATGTTAGCGCCTCCGGCCCCTGGGACCGCGCTTGGCACCCGGGCCTTCTGACCCTGGCTTGTCCGAAGGAGGTGCAGGTAGCGCTGAAAGTGGGGGAAGCCCCCTGGGGTCTCGGGGAGAAGGACCATGTGGCCACCCGGCTGGACAAGTTAACCCAGAGTTCAGCGCCCTCAGCTGGTGGAGAAACCCCTAAGAGGGGCCGGGCTTGCTGAAGTGCAAGGCAGAGCCAGCAGGGGGCAGGAGAGGACTCTGCTCAAGAGCTCAGGCTTCCCACCTGGCCCACCGGGGCCTTTAGGTCCCGCCTGTTTCCTCGTCTGTGAGGAGTGGGGAGTGGTGGGGAGAGAATGGGTCTGTAGGACTCAGTACTCACCGTCAGAATGACATGATGGGGGAGGGCCAGGCAGAGGGGGAGCTGGCCTT